TAGGGTGTGTCATAGGAGGGAAGATCAGCTAAAACTAATGGCCCATCACTTTTTTGGTAGATTTTAGTGTATATAAACAGAAAATAATTTCAGTTTCAATATTTTGCAACCTTTTGCTAGGTAAATTTTAGTTTGAAATTTATCGAAAATCTAACGTACAGCTGCATTAGTGCATTACAATTAAATAGTGAACATTGCTTTCTGACTTCATTCTTTAACAACCCAACTAACAATATTTTTTTCTGTTTCAAATTCTGATGCATTTATAAGTTGATAATATTTGCGATGGCTGCTTGTGTCAGGACGAGGAACCAAAAATCCAGCCATCTCAGTCACTATCTTGGGTCTGGGAGAGAGCTCCTGAAGTCGGAGTTGCCTACATTGAGAGATGCTTTGAGATACGGTGTTTTAATCAGGCAAATCAGTGAAAAGAACCAAAGAACTTACACAAACAAAGACATTGCCAGTGATATGACCAAAGCTGTCTTGGCACAGTACACTCTGGCTAACGCTCAGTTCAAGCCTCCAGTCATAACAAGTCAGAAGAAGATTAGTGAGAGACTGCTAGCCAGTTGGGAAAAGGCAAGGGATATCTCTCTTGGGAGAGGAAAACTTGCAGTTAAGGACAGCTTTGCCAAGCAACTGGACCAGTTATTTGACATAATTACTTGCAAGTGCCCAATTGTTCTCTGTTCTGAGTTTGGATGCGATCGTGACTGTAAATCCGAGGCCCACATCTCCTGTATTTGCAAGCGTGAACTGAAGATTCCTGTGATCGAACTGGCATTTGTCAAAGCACAGAGAGAGAAGACTGGCAGTATAGGGGCTCTCATGATTTCTAGCCAAGATATTCCGGAGTCCAAGAGACAGGAGGCTGCCACAGAGAGACAGAAGAGGAGAAGAGTTGCCGAGGAAAAGAGACTTGAGAAGGCCCAGGGTGAGGTAAAAAGGCCGATGATTGGAGTCAAGCTGATTCAGAGTTTAATGACTTCCCCATGGCTGATCCGAGTGCTGACCAGGAGAATGGTGACTTTGTCCCTAACCCAGAAAATAATGATCCCAAACCTTCCGGGCATAAGATTCGAAATAGGAAAGATATCCCGAGCATAGCTCTGGCCAGCATGCGACACCACACTGGTCTCGAGAAACTGCAGAGATAGCAACAGCTGCCTGGATTGACGGTGGTTTGATAACACCTGATGATGTTCACCTGGTGATAGATCATAACAAAGTAAGGAGAGCTCAGGAGAAACTTGTCAGTAACCTAGAAGAGGAGTTTGATAAGGGGATAAGAGAAAATGGAATCAATTGTTTGTTCTTTGATGGGAGAAGGGATGACACTAAAGTGTTCATGAAAGTTGGAGATTCTGACAAGTTGTTCCCTGCCATGGTGAAGGAGGAACACTACTCCTGCTGCAGTGAACCAGGAGGGAGTATTTGTGGCATTTCACTCCAGAGAAAAGACATCAGGAAACCAGCTGAGATAGTGGCAGATAACATTGTGAACTGGCTCAGAGAGAGGAACGTAGACCAGACCCTGCAGGCCATTGGAGGGACAGCACCAACACGAACACAGGGTGGCAAGGGGGGGTCATACAGTGGATAGAGCGGAAGATTGGGAGGAAGCTGGTCTGGATTGTTTGTGACCTCCACACCAACGAGTTGCCCCTCAGACATCTGATCCAGGAGCTGGATGGCAAGACTCTTTCAAACAACAGATGGTCTGGTCCTCTTGGCAAGATGCTGGACTCTGCCACTGAGTTAGAAATAAATCCGAGCTTTGAAAAATCACAGTTGGCCCTCCACTCGTTGAGCTTGCACATACTGTCATTGACGACCTGAGTACTGACCAGTACTATGGTTACATGATTTGCAGTGCCATCAAAACTGGGGTCATGCCTGATAGACTTGCTTACCTGCAGATAGGTCCAGTCTCACATTCTAGGTGGCTCACAACGGCTCTCAGGTTCTGCAGAATTTGGGTCGCTCATCATAAACTGAAAGGGAACCAGCTTCACAACCTGAGACTTATTGTCCAATTCATCGTGAGTGTCTACTTGCCAAATTGGTTCAACACCAAGGTCAAGTCATCGTTCTCCGAAGGTCCGAGGCATGTTCTCTTCCAGCTTGAGCTCCTGAGGAGTCAGCCAAGGAAGGTTGTTCAGATTGTGGAGCAGACTGTGAGGAGATCTTCCTGGTATGCTCATCCCGAGGCAGTTCTGCAGACAATGCTCTGCAGTAAGGATGAGGAGGAGAGAAGAGTGGCAGTCAAAAAGATCTTGGATATGAGACTTATGAGAGGATCTGGACATGACAAATCAGTTGGTGACGATTCCTTCAGGGTCAGGAAGACTCCTGAAGTCAATCTAGGTGCCAAGACCCTCACTGATCTCAGAGATCTGGATAACATCCAGGCTGACAGTGAGCCCCCTCTTACCTGCAGCCTCACCAATGTTCAAGTCAGAGCTTTCCTGGACAACCCCATGCATGTCCCTGCCTGGCCCTCTCACACCCAGAGTATAGAGCGTTGTGTACAGCAAGTGAGCGAGGCCAGCAGTCACGTGTACAGCCAGGAGAGGAGGGAAGGCTACATCCGAGCTCAGGTGGTCAGCAGGGAGGTGATGAGTAGAAACCGAAGCAAGAAAGACATGTTCTCTATGGTGTGCAGCAACACTGGGTCGTAGTAGTAAAACCGGTTTTTGTATTTGATGATTTTGTTTTCTAAAGGAATATTACATTTAATAAATGTGTCAAGATCATTCGTTTCACTATTCTGGATCATTTTCATCCTAATAAATTAACCTGATACATTTACTTTACTTTAAATAAGCTATTTAGTGGTGTTGGTAAAAGGGTGGGAATACTGAATTTTCATAAGATTTCAAGTTAAAATTTACCTAGCAAAAAATGAAAATTTTCAAATCTGAAGATATCACATGATTCTGCACATAGAACTACATCATTAATACCATGGGCCGATTTTTCAAACTCAAAAACAAAAAATTCGCCTCTGTATGACACACCCTACTGTATACATTCCTTCCTGTCCTCAACATTTTTTATACACGCCTTCCTGCCCTTAACGTTTTATACACACCTTACTGCCTTCAACGTTTTATACACGCCCTCCAGCCCTCAACGTTTTATACACGCCTTCCTGCTCTCAACGTTTTATACACGCCCTCCAGCCCTCAACGTTTTATACACGCCTTCCTGCTCTCAACGTTTTATACACTGTATACATTCCTTCCTGCCCTCAACATTTCTTATACAGTACACGCCTTCCTGCCCTTAACGTTTCATACATGCCTTCCTGCCCGCAACAGCATGATTTGAGTGACTGACAGATCTGTTAAACAATACTAATCTTTAATGATTGCGATTTGTTTTACTGCTTGGAGCTTTATATAGAGCAAGGAAGAAGCACAAAGAAACCTCCAAAGAAAGGTTTATAGTTCTCAAGACGTACAGTACAATGCTTCAGCATTTAAAAAAACATCCGACTCAATTTTGTTTGCTCATGCTTTCAGCGGCTGTGATACAACGTCTTCGTTTTGTCAGTCTTCTCAACATGGATGATCATTTGCAAGATATTATGTCGGTTTTCAACAATCCTAAGTCAACTCAAGACGAAGTAGCAGTTGCTGGAGAACAGTTCATTCTTGCTCTATATAAAGCTCCAAGAAGTGAAACAAATCTCAATCATTATAGATTTGTATCATTTAACAGATCTGTCAGTCACTCAAATCATGCTGTATTCTTACCAGGTCTTCCACCCACTTCATCAGCAGCTCGGCAACACAGTTATCGTGTTTATCACCAAGTTCAAGCGTGGCGAGGAGAAACACTACAGCAGGAGTTGTGGGGATTGAAAAAAAATCAAGATTCTCTGTCACCTATCTATATAACTAAGGCACCAGGGCCAGTAAAGGTCTTGAAAGTTATTTCATGTGGTTGCAAATTAGGGTGTGGGAAGTGGTGTAGTTGTGCAAAAGTTGGCTTACGCTGTTCTACTATGTGCTCTAACAGCAGTGGTCAAGCCTGCCTAAATTCCACAACCATAGAGAATTCCACAGATGACCTCATTTTATCAGAGGATGAAGAAATTACTTCCCTTTAATGACAACATCTTAAGCAAGAAATGAGTGGATTAGGCCCACTGGGGACACCACTCTAAAAAAATTAAAACGCATCAAAGACTTTAACCTCATGGTTGGTGTGGAAATGAGTCTCCGTTATATAAGGATAAATCAGAAAACATTTAAATCATCATAAAACTTGTATCTCATCTACCCAAATAGAGTACTTCCTACTCTACAATTTCATTTGTTTGTATTTATAATGAGAAATTAGTCGTTAGAGAGTTATTGATGGGAAACTGAGCGCGAGCGGAAATATCTTGATACACAGTATACTCAAACTCGCCTTCCACTTCCGGTCTTGTTTACGCAAAAACTATAACTCCCAGGGAAAAAATGCGAATCCAGGTAAAAAAGTCACAGGTAAAAAAAGTCACAGGAAAAAAAGTCACAGGAAAAAAAGTCACAGGAAAAAAAGAAGTTAACTATCGAATTCTCACATTTTTTAAGGTTAATATGTCAATTAGTTTCAGTAAAGGAATATGCAGAACTGATGGTAAATTAATGAGTTTCGCTTAAAAATTATAAAATAGAACAAAAACATTAGATTCTTTGTATAATCGGGCAACATCAACCTGGAAGGATTAAGGTAAGTCAGCTGAGGTCACTGTGACCACAGGTTGTCTAATCCGGTAAAAAATTTTGAGCAGATGTTTGATGTGAGGTCACGTTGAGATGACCTGTCTACGTACAGTATATAACCTTGTTCCTCTCTATAGTATGTCAGTATCCCTGAAGACAGCGTCATTCCACAAGATCCACCTGAAGCCGAGGAGTTGCTCATGTACTTCGATTGTACTTATGTTAGTGGCTCCTTTCGACCGATTCAGCAGCCAGTTGCCATGAACCAGTGATGTCCTGATGCCTCTGAGAATGCGTCGTATTCCACCTATGTTTGCCCCTCACCTATGGAAGGTGCATGACGCCACCATGAACAACAATGCTCGTACCAACAACATCTGCGAAGGGTGGAATAATAAATTCTTCAACCTCGTTGGTCACTACCATCCTTCAGTCTGGCGTGTCATTGAATGGTTTCAACTTGAAGAAGCGACGGTGAGCACCATTATCCAGCAGGATGGTGTTGGCAACCCCCCTCGAAAAAGAGTTCGTCGACGCTATGTGCAGCTACAAGAACGCATTCGCAACTTGTGTGCTGGTCGACGGGAGGACCACAAGACTGTGGCAGAGTTTCTTCGTGGCGTCGGCTGGAATATTCGTCTTAATCATCAGCATTAAAAACACTGAATATACATGTAATGCCATGATATTCTGTAAGCTGTTTTCAATCTGTACATGTCATGTACTGTCAATAAATGACTGACTTAAATATTTTTGTTTGATTACCTTACTGTGCTTAACATATTGAACAAAACGTGATTTGTTTTCACATACATGTAATGCCATCATATATAAATAGTGTTGTCAATGTATTGCCAGTTAATAACTGAATTAAAATATTTTCAGTTTTATTGCTTTAATTGTTTATGGTACTTCAATAAACTGTGACTGACTTGAATATTTTTTTTGATTACCTGACTTTCTTTCTAAACCAAAATTGTGACTTTTTTTCTTGTGCCTTTATTACCGGCCACCATAAATTAATTGTGACTTTTTTTCTGTGACTTTTTTTTCCTGTGACTTTATTACCGGCCACCAAAAATGCATATAGACAATCTTGTGTAGAATTTTATTTCCAACGTTTTTTAACAAACTTTTTTCGTCCGATGCACCGTTTTCAAAACAATAGGAAAAATTTAGTAAAATGGCCCCCCTCAAGGGGGTTTGGGCCCCCCAAAAGGAGGGGTTGTTGCAGTCGGACGGATAGGAACTCTTTTGATCTTTATTTGCATAGCCTTCAGGGGTATGTGTGCAAAATTTAATATCCTTGTGAATTTTTTTCCGCTAAAAATGTTAATTTAACTGGATGTAATGAGTGTTTATCAGACCACAGCTTACAGCCCAGAGAAATACAACACGTATAACAGTAAGTAGATGCCCACGTGGTAACCCACATAGATTGACACACCCTACAGTGACAGTAAGACCTGACTAAGGTGAGGTCACGGACAAGGTACCTGAGTTAACCCGGCGTTATGACATTGTTACTCAAGAAACTACACCTGGACAAGGTGTCCAGATCCTGACCCAAGAGAGGTCAGTCTCATTGACCCAGAGTTCTCACAGCTACGCGATTAGCTTAACCCGGCGACATGGCCATCTTACTCAAGAAGCTGCCCTCCAGCCAGTACAGCTGTCACCCGACCGGGCACACCCTGATTTGTGACGACATCTTCCGGCTCGTGACCGCCAATATAAGGGCCCTGCAGCTTCTTCTCAGGGACAGTAGCATTCGGATTATTATTGTAATAGAGAAGGAACATAAGAACATAAGAATGGAGGAAATTGCAGCGGGCCTATTGACCCATACTGGGCAGTCCCGTTTATACCCAACCCCTATTGCTCATATAAGCATCCAACCTATGTTTGAAGCTATCCAGCGTATTCGAGTTAATGATGATATTTGGTATCTTGTTCCATTCATCCCCTACTCTGTTTCCAAACCAGTGTTTACCTATTTCACGCCTAAATCTAAATTTGTCTAATTTAAAACCATTGTTACGAGTTCGCTCCTGGTTGGATAGTTTGAGTACCTTCGTAATGTCCCCTTTGTTTAACCCTGACTTCCATTTATACACCTCTATCATGTCGCCTCTCACTCTACGTCTCTCGAGGGAGTGCAAATTAAGATGCTTTAACCTGTCTCTGTATTCAAGGTTCCTAATGCCCGGGAATAGTCTTGTCATTCTCCTCTGGATTCTTTCCAATGATTCTATATCCATTCTGTAATACGGTGACCAGAACTGAACTGCGTAATCCAGGTGAGGTCTCACAAGCACTAGATATAATTTTAAGATGACCTAGCTAGTCTTGTAACTAACACTCCTTTGTATGAACCCAAGTACTTTATTAGCCTTGTTATGAGCAAAAACACATTGTTTACTTGGCTTAAGGTTCCTACTTATCATTACTCCTAAATCTCTCGCAGTCGGATTCCACAATGGCATCGTTGTTCATCTGGTAACTGGTTTCCCTGTGTACATCTCCTATACCGAGTACTTTACATTTGTCCACATTGAATTTCATCTGCCATTTTTCCGACCATTCGAAAAATTTGTTTAGATCGTCCTGTAGTTTTGCAGAGTCCTCGTCAGATTTAATTACACGTCCTATTTTAGTGTCATCAGCAAATTTACTTATGTTGCTGTCTATGCCGATATCTATGTCGTTTATGTATATAATAAATAATAATGGTCCAAGTACTGAGCCTTGGGGAACTCCACTAGTGACGTTGCTCCAATGCGATTTAGTGCCGTTTATGCTCACTCGCTGTTTCCTGTCCCGTAACCACGCCCTAATCCATTTCAGGATATTACCTTTGATGCCATGCGCTTCTACCTTTCTAATTAGTGTTTCGTGGGGGACTCTGTCGAAGGCTTTGCTAAAGTCGAGATATACCACATCATAATTGTGCCCCTCGTCCACCGATTCGAAAACTGATGAAAAGAATGTTAATAGATTAGTTAGACATGAACGCCCGCTTGTGAAGCCATGTTGGGAATCATTGATCAACTTGTGCTTCTCCAGGTGGTTTCGAATAGAGTTTGAAATAATTGATTCCAGTAATTTGCCTACTATTGATGTTAGACTGATTGGGTGGTAGTTAGAGGATAGTGATCTATCCCCCTTCTTGAAAATCGGTATTACATTCGCTATCCTCCAGGATTCTGGTACTACACCTGTTTTTAATGACATGTTAAACAACTTTGCTAAGGGCAAACTAAGCTCATCCTTACATTCCTTTAATACTCTGGCAAATATCTCATCGGGACCAGGTGACTTATTAGGCTTCAGTTTGTCTATTTGCTTATTAACATCGTTACTAGTCACTGCTATCTCGCTTATTTTGTTTTCTTCACTATCTCTGAATAGAGTCGGTGCCTCGGGTATCATGTTCAAATTTTCGGTGGTGAAAACTGTTGAAAAATATTTATTCAGATTATTGCTCATTTCTACGTCGTTATCAGTTAGCTCGCCGGTATCTGAACGTATTGGTCCAATCTTATCTCGTGTTTTAGTTTGATACATTTGGTAGAATCCTTTGGGGTTTGTTTTTGCCTCCCCTGCTATCTTCAGTTCATAGTTCCTCTTGGCTTTTCTTATCTCGGTCTTGACCCTACCTGCCAATACCTTATAATAGTCCCGGAGGTAAGTTTCGCCACGATTTATCTTTCTACCTATAGCCTTCCTTTGGCCAATAATGTTCTTTAAATAATTATTTATCCATTTAGGGTCATTGTTGTCTGATCTGAGTTTTTTGTATGGTATGTTCTGCCTTTGTGCATTAAGTAACTCATTATTTAAATTGTCGTGGAACTCGGCAATCTCAGATCTCGTTATCAGGTAGGTGTCATCTGTCAGGTTCACACCCCGTCTCTCAGCTGCCTCTTTAAACTATCAAAGTTTGCCCTTCTGAAATCTGGGACTTTAATGGAATTCCCTTTACGTCTGACCTGAAAATCTAACTGGACAGCTCCTCCCCAGCACTGCGTCTCCAGCTAGCAAAGTCTCCCACAGGAGACATAGTCCACCACTCCCTTCAACAACACCCGCTGGGCCTCCTTTAGGTCACACGTGAGTCATTGTCAGAGCGATCCATAGGGTGAGTTACTGTCGGTGGGAAGTGTATCCATTTCATGTTTGTTTCCGAGAGTCATTGTCTAGTAACGTATATATAATGATCTATTAATGTGTACATGCCATTCAGTTAATTAATAAATAGTTGTATTGAAAGTGGTGTTTAGAAAGATTGCCCCTAAGAATGTATTAACAGTTGAATAAACAACCGACCACGCTACTAAACTTCCTCACTTTATATTCCTATAACTAATAACTTACTATTATTTCTACCATTACATTGACTACTCGACGTTTTATACATGTCTTCCTTCCCTCAACGTTTTCATACACGCTTTTCTGTCCTCAATGTTTCATACACGCTTTCCTGGCCTCAACGTTTACATGCACGCCTCCCTGCCCTCAACGCTTCACAAAATGCCTTCCTTCCCTCAACGTTTTTTACACGCCTTCTTGCCCTCGACGTTTTATACACACCTCGCTGCCCTCAACGTTTCCATATCACATTCCCACAATCAGCACTTCCTTACCAACCTTCTGCCATCCACGTTTTACAGCACTTTCCTGCCTCTAACACGTCCTAATCTCCCTCCACTCCCCTTTCCTCCCCTCCCTTCCCCTCCCCTCCCCACTCTCTCCTCCCCTCCTTCTCTCCCCTCGCCATGCAGCAATCAAAAGAACATTGTGAAAATCCGGTTTATCCCTCATCCCTTGCCTAATCCATTTGTGTACCTCTGACTTTACCGTATGTATGTATGTATGTATGTATGTATGTATGTATGTATGTATGTATGTATGTATGTATGTATGTATGTATGTATGTATGTATGTATGTATGTATGTATGTATGTATGTATGTATGTATGTATGTATGTATGTATGTATGTATGTATGTATGTATGTATGTATGTATGTATGTATGTATGTATGTATGTATGTATGTATGTATGTATGTATGTATGTATGTATGTATGTATGTATGTATGTATGTATGTATGTATGTATGTATGTATGTAATCTTACCATAAACAGTGTATGACATGAATTTATATTACGTTTTTTATCTGATATATTATAATACACTATATTACGTGTTATACAGAGATATATATATATATATATATATATATATATATATATATATATATATATATATATATATATATATATATATATATATATATAAAGGTTTCTATATATCGGGCAGGTTTTTTCTCTGTCCTCCTTGGCGTCCAGACAGTTATAAACTAACTTGTCAAACTTGAACAATATGAAGTTCCTGTCGAGACACTTTTCAAGTTTGTCCTTCTTTTACGGATCTTAAAATTAAACTTGTTTCTTCCCGCTATCCTCCACCCTCTCTCTCTTCTCTCCCCGCCCTCCCAATGTCCCCCTTTCTCTCCTCCACCATTTCTCTCTTTCCTCCATATCTCACCCTTCTCTTCTACCTTTTCACTCTCTCCTCCTCCATTCTCCCTCTCTCTTCCTCCACCCTCCCTCCCTTCTTCCCCACTTTCACTTTCCCATCCTGCTTCCCTCCT